TGGTGCAGGATATTGCTCAATGGCAGGAAGTTAGATGTTGAAGAAACGCTAAAGCAGTTTCGAAAGATATATCCGACCAAGCAGCTGTGTGCTGGCTGTCGTGCTGGCAGTATCAGCATCGTCCTCCTGGCTTGTGAGAGAAGGTGAATGGCAGTCATCCATGTGGTTTGGCCAAACGGGTCACCATGGACAGTTCCAAACGAGACATAGGCTCTTATATCAATTCAATGCTACCATTGAAAACGTGTAGCTCAGCTAAGCATGGTGCACAGCAATACTGGAATCGTGGAGACTCTGTACATGTTTACGGCGTGCCTGGCACCTTTTCAGGGTTTAACGATGTTTGACAATGCTCTGGGGACGTAAATCACTCCAAAAGAAAGCAAGGATCCGCGCAAATGTTGCCTGCAACATGAGGTGAATTTCGACTCAAACATCAACAACCCATAGCAGTTGCATCCATTTAACCATTAAGCCACTCCCCAGCTGAACACATATCATTTGTTAAGTTTCCTTAAGAATCTATTGTTGACTCTTGATCATCAACCCCCCTCCAACCATTGGAAATCCTAGAATAATATGATAGAACACCAATCAATTGATGAACACAAAAATCATCACTCCAACATGGAAAAGAAACACCCTTCTAGGGACCTTTATTAATCAGTGCAGGGAAATTTGCTGATATTATTCTGGGTGCATTTATTAATCAAAGGACCACATTAGGAACCAAATGAATAGTGCGAGCGCTTCTTCAAGAAAGTTCTTCCCCACGCCCTCAGGCGGGGGGAGCTTCCTTGAAGAAGTGTGAGCTACCCAGTCCATAATAGTAGCTTAAGTAAGGTACGAGCTACCTAGCTTCTACTAGCTACATTTCCAGTACCTCTACCACCTACCCCCCTGGTTTAAAACAACAAATCAAATCCAATCATGCCCCAATTCGATTTGCATTCCAGGCCAGTGCGAAACAAGCGATGAGACAAGTCCATGGGGAACCTTCACTTCGTCCTTTTTCCGAACTTGGGAGGTGCACTAGTAGCTTCTTGCTCCTAGTAGTATGGCCAGGAGCCCCTAGTAGCGTACTTGCTCCTAGTAGCGATGCCAGGAGCCCCTAGTAGCTTTCTTGTTCCTATATGCCTAGGAACTACTTACACCATCTGAGGTAGAGAAAAACAAATCACATTGACTTTAACAGCTTCTGCTTTCTTGTTCCGTCAGGTAGACAACCCAGTGTGTCTTTACCTCTGCAAAAACCGCGCCTTCAAGCATTCCGGCGGTGGCAACCCGGGAGGTGGATGGAAGGTGTTGGGGACGTTGTGCGACATCATGTTGATGTGCATCACCATGGCATTCACACCCTGACAACGGCCCATGATCGATGCCATCTCGACTGATCTAACATACTTGGCCAAGACTCTCTTGGGGCGCACTACAAACATTGACTTCTCAAAAAATGTAACATGATGGAATGCCCATCCCTTGCCTCGTTTGTAGCTGCCAGTGCATTCTTTTTCAAGAATTGACCCAAAACACTACCTCAATGGTGCTTAGCCACAGCCACAATTGGTGGTGGAAGAGTTCAGGTATGAAACATTGTTCTTGTGTTTCTTGTGACTGCTTCTGCTGCTTTGAATAAAAGACATCACCCAGCCAATCAAGATCAACAAATAATCCAAAAACAAACCTACCAGCATGGCCCGTGAAGGTTGACAGATCGAAACCTCGCGTGGTGCCGGGTCTAGGCCTTAAGCGCGGATTCCGCGTGCTCGATCCGCTGGTGGAGCTCGAAGATATCCGAGAGTGGAGCTACCTCAGGATCTGATGTCAGCAAACTTAGAATGAGGACATCTAGAAGTGCACCGCTTCTTGAATCAGCAAGTTAATGCTCTTGGACGCTCTTGGACTGGAGCTCCAAAGTCAAGCAGCAAATCCTGATTGAGTTATGACCTGTTTTCCAAAGACCAATTTGAAGAAACATGGCTCAAACGAAAAAACATGTCGATAAAGCAGGTTGCTGTCAGTCAGCCGGAATCAGCGTAAGCAACAAGGCGACTGGAACTGCGCTGAGTGACAGAGCTCACTCCGCGCTAGTGTTCTTCTGGTTTTTGGTTGTATATATAATGTTGACATAGGATGAAGTAACCACCCCCTATTAATCAATCCCAGCTCGACGCCCCCAATACTAAACTAATTTAAAACCTAGATTGCCACCTTGGCATCACCCTAATATCTTTTTCCTGTGCAGAAACCTCCCCTCCCCCTATTAATCAATCCCAGCTCCCCCAGAAAAAATATAGTTTACTATTGAATTGGTAATTCTTTATGATGTTCTTTTTTGTTAGTATTCAATATCTTCATCTCCTCATCTTCCTGATTCCCACCACCACCTCTCAACTGCCACATCCTGCTCACCAAATCCTTTTGATGGCTTCTCCTCAAGTCTCATGCTACCAACCACCCCCCAAAACCCCAAAAACTCTCTAGCAAAAGTCTTTCACTTTCCCTTATTAAAACTCTATCTCAAAGTCTTAACTTTTTCAAGCTCACAAAGGGTACCCCCAATAGTAGGACCCCCTCCCCCTATTAATCAATCCCACCCTCTGGCCTCATTCTTGTCTTCCAATGCTTTCATCCTGCAATCCTCTTCTTCCCAATCAAAGAGAGCATCACCAATTGGCATGGCTCTCTGATCAATCCTATCTGATCTCTTATCAAACTTGTGCCAATACACTCAGAGGACTCATGGCTCTCATGGTTCAATCTCTCATGACACAGAATCCCATCAACCATCATCCATCATCAGGTCCAAATCCTCATCTCATCATCCATCATCAGGTCATCACCTTTATTAGGGGGATGTCCTCCTCAATACCTCAAATCTCAAACCTTGTTGACCTTGAAGGGGGGGACCGGTTGATTAATCCTACGTCGACATTATAGTGTTTCCAAATCTGTCTTGCTTGAGACAGCTGCGTTGCCTGGTTCCTCAACATCACAACAGGGCTCAGAATCCAGTTCTTCAAACAGCGCATTCCCCTGCGAGTCATCTTCCCTCCGATTCTTCCGTCTTCCCTCCGAGTCTCTGGTGGCTTCACCTCCATCTCTGAAAGGCATTCCTGCGCCTCTGCGCTCATCTTGGCCGCCACGGCAGTGCCTTTCGGCATCTCCTTGGGAGGCTTGCGGAGCTCCTTCTTGCCATGCGCAAAAGTGCAGTCAGCTCCACGTTTGCATCGGCCCTCAAGGCGAGATCTGAATGCTGACCACTGGTGCCGGGTGTGGGAAATGGTTCTGGGTACGAGGGACGAGGGCATGCTTGAAGGTGTACTCTGGCAGATCCTCGCCTGTGACATTTTTTGAGGCGGTGATGCACTCATCATAACCAAGGTATGCTTTCCGTTGGCGTCTGATCCCATGAGACTAGGGGAATGAATGATAGGTTGGGGGCGAGGTGCATTGTGAATCCAGCAGAATACTCCGACCGAGGCAAAAACAACACACACCGCACACGAAGATAATGACAACCCTCTGGTTCAGAGTGTCTAAAAAACAAGGAAAAACAATTTAAGGCCTCCAAGAACTACCAAGGTTAGAATTCGCATGACATGCCACTTTAGCCGTGCCTTGGACATGAACTGGAAGCATAGTTCAGTCTTGACCTGATGCTGGGTTTCTGTGAAACACAACGTGAAATCACACAAACAACGATGCAGTCTTCAAGGAAGACCACATGACCGACGTTATTTTAGAGACAAAAATGAGGCACTCAAACAAATGCCGCATTCCTCGCCACTAATTATATATGGACATATTAGCCCACCCGCTCTTTGATCTTCGTACAGCTCCTCAGCCTGAGCGCTCTAGATGCGTTGCAAAATCTTGCCACAACACTCGATTTTTGTTGCTAACAGGTGTTTTTCTTGGGTTTTCTGGTTCCAGTTTCGACTCCCTATCGCCGCCCATTTCTGAACGTTTTTCGCGAAACCGTTTCTGCTTCTCAGTTCTAGGCCAGGTCCGGCTGCTCTTGGAGGTCGCAGGTGGAGTGTGCGAAAGTACAAGCTTCACCTGAGGCTGCCAAGCCCCCCAAGACAAATTTCCAATGCCATGTGCCCCATTGCTGCCTGCTCTGACCAATGGTCTGATATGTTTAGTGGCGTTCGGCCTGGCGCGTGTTCTCACATATGCTTTGACGTCAAGCCTTGCGTGTTCCGACATACCCAGGACACCAACTGTTCGCTCAGTGAAACTCAACTACTGTCTGACGCTTGATGTCGTTTCAGTCCCTTTCCAAAAATTGCCGCTTCATGGCTTTGCATGCAAATTTGGACCTTCCGTAAGCGCAACAATGAAATGTTCAAGCAAAATTGGACCATTTTGGCCCTTTTGGCGCAATTGTCTTTTTTGGAGTGCTGCTGTTGGTTCCCCTATTCCCCAACATCGGAGAAGTCCACGCTACAGAAGTTATTGCTGCCTGCCAAAAAAGAACAATTGAAGAACAAATAACAATGTATGAAAACTGGCATTTGTTCTGGTGTGTTTTCTGACAAATGCTCTGCAATCCAAGCTGCAACTGTGCTGAGTAAACACCTAACATTTGCTCTGGGCATGCGGGCAAAAGGTGTTCTGGCATGTGTTGTGGCATCTGTTCCCACGCCAAGTCTCGCATGTGTTCCGAAGATCGTTATGACCTTTGATTGAGTGAGCCCCGTGTTGACGAGCGGCTTAGTATAGTGATAATACCTGTAGAAGTGACATTGCCACCCATTTAACATCAACAGTGCGTTCATTTGCGCCCTTTTGTCTTCCTTTGGCAACAAAACCTGCTGTGTTAACAATCCTGGCGCCAGCGTCAGCAAAGTAGTTCAGCCTCATTTCTTGACCTGCTCCACCTAAATAAGACGCGCCTTAAAACTATGCAGCCGTGACAGAAAAGAGACTTATTGGAAACGAACTTTTCAACTTAGCGCGAGTGTCTGATGTGCTACATGTTGACTAAGTGTAATATTAGCAATATTAGAACAAAACACAAAATACAAGTCCAAAAAATGCTTGATTCAAAACGAGTGCGAAACAAAAAACAAACAAACCCTTTGATAACCTCACTTTGTCTCAAGAATCGTTGGCTGTTTTTTTTGGTGTTTTGGTCTTCTCTCTAAACCTTTGTAGGCCTGGGCTAAACAAACCTCTGATAGAAGTTAACTCAGAATGAAAAGCGCTATGCAAGGTGCGCAGGGGCTTGTTTTCCGAGAGCAGGAAAGGTTTCGTGTCGCCACATGCCCTCCTGAAACCTGTCGAAGGATTCATCTAAACATGGAGGGTCATCTTGTGCTCACTCTGTACGCATTCTAAATTCACCTCCAAAATCAAAGCTTGCACTTGGGCTTGATCTAGGTGCTTGGTTCCAAGGTCGGCTATGTTCTTTCTCGTCCCAACCACAACTCAAGCTCTTTGTTCTGCGCACGCTGTTGCAACCATAAAAACGACGTGCCAATGTGCTTTGCCCTGCCATGCCCTTTCCGACTCAACATGGCCTTCGCAGCCGTAGCAAGAGCCATTGACATCGCCTTGAACAATGTTGAACGTGCTTTCACGCCTGCATAGAACTCTGACTCTCCACTGCTCAACGACACAACGTGCTGTGTACTGCTGTAAAACTTGAGAAGATGTGAACCGTGCAACAAGGCTCCACACGATGTTGACTTCCGTGTCTTCGTGCAACCGGCGTCATCACTGTCAGTGTACATGGTGAAGTCCTCCTGTAGCAACTGTTCAGGGTACTTCCAAATCAACCGTGGAACACCATGCAAATATCTCACCAACCGTTTCAAACCATTCCAATCTGACCGACAAGGTTTTGCCATGGCCCGTGCAAGCTCCTTGCACGCAAAAGCAATATCTGGTCGATCCAATGCAAGATAACCAACCCTCATAGTCAAGCTTCTGAACCTGCTGCTTTCTTCTGGAGTCAGCACTTCATCTTTTTGTTCAGTTCTCTTCACGCCTGCAGCAGGGGCGCTCTTCGAATCAGTCAAGTTCAACTCCTTGACCAAAATCTGCACATGCCTGGGGTCGGCCTCTATTGTTGTCTCACGCGGACCATAGTTAGTGCACAAGTCGGTTCAAGATCATTGCATCCTGCGCGTCTCCCTCATCAGGCCCCGACATGCCACCATCTTTGATTTCATACCTTGTCAACAATTGCTCTTCAAGCAAAGAAGGTCATCTTTGCGACCCAATGAAGTAATGTCACCCCCGTGAACCGAAATCTTGATGTCACGAACACTGTGACAATACAACACTGGGCTTCCGAACTGGGGTGACTTGTAAAGAGGTCTGTAATCCCAATCTCCCATTGTCTAGCTGCATCACCCGTACATGGCCTTGTTCAAACGGCCACAGTAGCCTTCTTCTGCGGCTTCGGGTGGAAGTCGAACATAGACAGTTCTCTCAATCTTGGCTGTCCAATGTGCCCTGCGGATGTCTGTGAACATCACTTTGTAGCCTTGTTTCCCTGAACGCTGAAGTGACAACGAAACTCTGATCGACCCCAAGGGTGGTGTAGCTGCAAAAATTGCTCCAACGCCACTATGTCTCACCTCTTGAATGACCAACCTGCTCCTGTAGTTTGGACGTTCAGTGTCACCTTTGTTTATGTCAATCCAACGGGATCCGACGGGTCCAGCCCCAGTCACATCCCATGCCTCTTGTGTTGGTACCAATGTCCAGACATTGTAGCGAATGGCATAGTCAATCTCTCCTGCGTGAGCTGCCATCACCTTGCTAGTTTCAAGTGCTTTGCCCGAAACTTCAATGAATGTGGTCCAGTCTTCTTGAACCAACACTGCCTGTTCAAAATATGGTTCTTCGTTCACAGGTCCAAACTCCAATGAACTGAGTGGCGACTTCTTCTGCGTCTGTTGCTTCAACCCTTTCAAGACTCGCTGCAAAAGACCGTCCGGATAGATCTCAGCCTGTTTTGCCTTGCCACCAATGAGTTGCGCACGCCGATGCCACTGACTGTTGTCCTCCTTGTAGTAGAAAATTGTAGCAATGTCTCTTGGCTGTCCCGGCAACTTCTGATGCAACTGTGAACGAGTGGCTTGCTGAAAGCCCTGAAGATCTTGAAGCACCTCATTTGTATTGATATCCATCGTCACCCTTCTCACAACTTGTTTCCACGCAGGTCCCCCTTTCTTCAACAATTGCAATTCGGTTGCATTGAAATCAAACCTCTTCCAAACTTTGAGTTCATTTTTAACATTCTTGCAAAGAACATTCAACTGCTCTGCATTACATTCTGAATTCGTCATGAAGCCGGATGGTTTCTTCACAGCTCCAATCCCATGCTCATCCTCCGCCTTGCATACCAAACTGACACATGTCTGCACGAACCTTGTAAACTGTGTCAAGCTCTTCAAGCTCTTTCAACGGGTCTTCATTATATGTTTCCGGTAGAGCTCACAGCAAAATGCTAGATGCTCTCTTGCCTCTGCCAGCTTCTGCACGTTGTCCCATGTATCTACAAATCTCTGATTCAAGCCCTGCAAACTACTGAATGGCCCACACGGCAGACAACCCAGTAGAAGTTCTGGCTGTAAATCATCAACCAACAAATGGGCGGCTGCTCGCCTGTCTGATCACGCAAAATCCCAAGGATTGCCCTCATGGTCACAAGTCCTCAAGTCCAACGCCAGCGATCAACCCTTTGTTGTGCCCAAATGCTGTCAGGCGTGGTGGAGAAAACACCTTAATGACAAGTGGTTTTCGACCTGTCTGTTCAATGCCGTATGCATCATACAAGCTCAAGCTCCGCAGTTGTGATTTCACCTGCTGTTGCTCAATGAAATTATCACTCAACAGCTGGTGCGTCTCCAAGCAAGATGATTCTCTCAAGCAAGGATGGCACGAACCATGTTTGCTCAATGAAAACAATTGAAGTGAACTGAGGTCCATCGCCTGAGCTTGCTCCTCCACGCCATGCTCTTCTCCCATGCGGTCGTCTCCAGGTAAGCCAACTGTTGTTCCAGGCGGCGCCTCTGTGAATTCTATGTCAGGAATGCCCTGACCTCCTCCACCAGTGCATCCTCAGCCCCTCTTGGAGCTTTCGCCTCTGATGGTTCATCCATGGACAGTTTCCTCATCCTGCTGTTCCTTGAACTTGACCCTGAAACGCTCCGCGCGACGGTCCATGCGCTCCACTTTGTCTCGACCTTCCTCAGTCTGCAACATGGCTTCCCTGATCCTTTGTTTGCAAGCTGAAGAATGCTGTTTGTGGCTCAATCCAAGTTTAGCTGCTTCACAACCGTCGCAACCTGGAGTGTACCCATATTCTTCAAGCTCAATGTCCCGACGGATGCAGATTCCTCGGGGTCTATAGCTTTTCTTTCGCTTCACTTCTTTCTCCTCTGTCACCTCCGCAGCGTCTAAGTCCAACGCCGGCAGCTCAACTTCAATCTCCTTTGGCAAACTCTTTTCTCCCATGTCCTTCTTCGGACGTAGCTGCCACGGAACCCAATCATATGCTTCAGAAGTGCACCATCCCATCGATCACCTCCATATTTGCACTTGATCGTCCAGCATCGATGAACTCCTGTACCCGTTCCAACCCACTTCATGGCTGACCCTTCCTGAATGCCCAAGAAGGTGCCTTCATCAAGCTTAGGATCAAGCTTACTTCCAGATCTGTCGCCCTTCAATGGTTGGACCCACACACGCTCACCAAATTCTGGTGTTCTGACCCTCCACGGCTTCCCAGTCGAACGCTCAAATGGAGTCTGCTAAGCAAGGCTGCTGCATAATCAACCAACCAAGTCAACACTGAATGCCGTGGATGTATTGGTCCATAACGCGGTTCAAGTGCACTCTTCATTGTACGAGCCTGGGCCTCAATCTTCCCAATGTAACTCTCAATGAGTCCATTGCTCTGTGACTCACCTTTGGCAGCATCCTCACACGACAAAGAAGGAAATAGACGCTGCAACTCGTTTCTCAAAGCAACCAACGATCTCTCATTGTCACTCTTCGCAACTCCTCCAAGTCACCCCGAAACTTTCAAAAGCTTTGAGACTGCTGCAACATTGTACTGATGTTGAACTCCCTTCTCTGGCATGCAAACGGCATATGTTCTGCCGGTCTGTTCCTCCACCATGGTCAAAGTGGGCAAACTCTGCTCTTCATCTTTGCCAAGATAGAAATAGTCCAATGCTATCAAAGGTCTCCTCTGCTCTTTGGCATCCTGACCCGGTCTCTGCCTGCGATGTGCCTCAGCCAAACCCTTGCCTCTGATGCAATCTGCACGCCCGCTCCTGTAGGGAATGTGGCTGATCATATGCTCACGCCTCTCGTCTTCTACAGGCCCAATGGGAACACGGAGCGCTAATCCCTTTGGACCTCATCCTCTGATTCTCTTGCGTGAGATGCCACAACGTCCAAGTCTCCTTCACTCGGCCCATACTGCTCACAGTCCTCCGGAAGTGGCAACTCTGGAACTCTAGTGTGGCCTTGATGTAGGTCACTCCGATCACTCACACCATCATCAAATTCAAGGTGGGAACCCGAATCTCTCACATCCTGTGGCTCCTCATCCAACGCATGCAACTCATAGCGGGGCCTTACGCCTGCGGATCTGCCTGGGCACTGCTCCCACCGCAGAAACCCGTTGTCTCCTCATACGGGATCACATGAAGATGCAAATTGAAAATTGCATCCTCCTGATACAAATTGAATGTATCACCCGTCTCTTTGTCCTCAATGTAACTGCGTTCACCCTCCGCCTCCAAGACAATCCGATGCCCTTGGTTGCAAATCTGAGCCGCTGATGTCACACCTTGCCAACTGCTGCCACCTGAAACACCATCTCCCTCAAGTGACCTTCTGCACTCATCACAATTGGCCTGACTTCACCATAATGCTCAACCGTCTTTTCATTTGCTGCAACCAAAACTACCTCTTCTTCACTCTCTCGAGTCAACACCGGATAGTCCGGGAAAGTTCCCGGAGGACAAGCTGACATGGCTGCTCCACTGTAAACATTTGAAAGCGCTGCGTACGTCTTGGGCGACAAGGTCAAATCAATGTTCTGCCCTGTTTCTTGACCACTTGTATTCGCCCCCGTTCCGGAGCCTCGTGCCCTTTTCGCATGCCTACTGCTCAATGCTGACAGCCTCTTGATTGCCACGACTGCTGAGCCTGCGATGCTGATGGTCCCAACACTGAACCAGCAGGTGACAATGCTCCGACAACACTCGACTGTGGTGAACCCTGCGCGGCCTGCGCTGCTGTTGAACCACTGTTGATCTTCTGAAAGTCCTCGACTACCCTTCTTGCATATTCTGACTGCAGTTGTGACAACCTGGGATCAACAGAATTCAATGGTTTCACCTTCTTCTTCCAACAGTATTCAGCCGTGTGGTCCACTTTGCCGCAATTCGAGCAAACTGGTTTGTTCTTGTCCGTGCCGCCACCCTTCGAAGATGCTTTGCCCTTTCCTTTGGGAGTCTTTTCCTCCCTTGCCTTTCCCTTTATCTTTGCTCTTGCATTTCCCAGCTCCTTGACCGCCTTGCACTCGCTTGGGACAGTCTTTGGCTAGATGCGGTCCTCCACACTCCACACTCAAAGCAACCTCCTCCTTTGCCTGGGCCTTTTGACTGCAGCGAACCACTGTCCATGCTGGTGGCGGTCAATGACTGAGTGTGCTCAATGTATGTGAAAATCACATCCCGCAGTTCCATGTATGTTGTGTACCTCTGTGCATTCAACAGATGTTCCCTCAGCCGATTAGGACATATGGAAACCACTGCGGCCATCTTGATTGCCTCACTGATCTTCTCTGTGTGCAGTCTAGCTTCAAACTGCTCTGTGATCTCTCCCATGACACAATCTCTCCTGCCAACTGAGCCAAAGGAACATTTGCTGGTGGATTTGCAATCGTACTCAACCCTGCTCGCTGTCGACCAATGGTCACTGGATTGAAGCGCCTTTGCAACAACTTCCAAGCCTCATGCCCGTTTGGTCGTCTTGCTTGCCTGACAATGTTGCGAGCCTCACCAACTGTAAATGTTATCAACACCGCATACAAATTGGAATTCGAATACCCCAATGTTGCTCTGTTGATGTTGGGAAAATGCGATGACAAATCATCAATCGAAACTTGTGCTGCTGGTTGTGTGTCCTTGATGTGTTCAAGCAACTCCCAAGCCCCCGGAATCTGAGCATCAACACAGCTAATCACATGATCGCTCCAATCGTTGAAAGGCAATTGCCGGACTCACACGGGGCCCCAATCCTCCGAGCCCAGCTATCCCTGCTGCCCCACCGAGATTCAAATTCGGTGGCGGAATGAACTGTACATTCGGTGCCGCTGCTTGCGTGGGAGGTGATCCATGTGGCGACCCTTGAGCGTGATGTTGAGGTGAACCCGGTGAACCCTGAACACCCGGCTGAACCTGTGGGCCCTGAGGAGGCGACCCTGGCGCCGGAACTTGTGCTGCTGTCTGCTGTTGCATCTGCTGTTGCATGCCCTGCAATGCCTGTGACAAATTCAACACTTCCTGATGATTCTGTTGAATCGCAGCCTCAATTTGCTGTTACATCAACACTTGACCTTGCTGCATCTGTTGAATCTGCCCTTGTGCATCTTGCTGATTCTGCTGCATAGCTGCCTGAACCTGTTGCGCAACTTCTTGAACAACACCTTCGGTCGCCTGCTGGTGTTGGGAACACCCTGAGCTGTGGTCCTGACTGCCTGCTGCAATGTGTCCAACCGAGCACGCTGTTGCTGTTGCCATGTCGCCATGGCCTGCAGCATGTTCACGATCTGGCCCAACTCATTTGCTCCTGCTCCACCATTGGCGGCACCATCCGCCATCAAGACACTGAAAAGCACTGGAGTAAACAGGATCCCAACCAATGTCAAAAATGCAATGATCAGCCTCCAACCCAATGTCCAACCTATCGGTGCCCAACGACGACGATTTCCGGTTCCGCCCTCACGGCGCGTGCTGGCGATGCCTCGCAAGAGAATCTCACCGGTCTCAGCCGAACGTGTCACAAGATTCCCTCTCGGTGAGAGACCCCTGCGACGCATCAACCAGCCAAGCAACTCTTCTGCTGTTGTTCAAGCGGCCAGCTCCGCTACCATGAAAAGCGCTATGCGAGGTGCGCAGGGGCTTGTGTTCCTCGAGCAGGAAAGGCTTCGGGTCGGCTCACAGAACCTAGGTTTTGGCGATGTTTGGGCAAAAATAGACTGTGAAACACAATGTTGCATCTTTTGCCAGAGCACTCGTTTTGTCAATTTCCCCACATAGCTGCAGGCTATAGGGGTTCCAACTTCTCAATGGTGTGGCTCTGGATCGGCGTTTCGGTTTTGCGCACAAACGATGAAGAGAGGTAGAGGGAGGAGCAAGCAGGAGGAGAACACTGACCTAAAATCTAGAGACCCTTACACGACAGCTCCAAACCCGCTGGATCATTGAAAGGCATAAGAGTGATCTGTCACCAGCTGGAGCTTTCACCGCCGTTTGCACATCCCGGACTTCAGCTCTACCAAATGGGTCTGCACTGCTGTCAGGGATTAAGCTTCAGAACCAGCAGTTTGTGAAACTCTGTCCGCTTCACAGGATGAAACCTTTGGAGTCAGAAGTAGAGACCCAATCCAATTCATGTTTCTTCTCAACCATGGTTGAGTTGTCGGTATCCGATGTCCCAATCAACCAAGGGTGCCACTGAATCTCACTGAAGATGACTCACAAGAACCTGACTCATGGCTCATCTTCGACTCATGTCTTTCCAAGTTGCCCAAGGTGCACCTGCTGCAAACCCAAAACCTCAGTTGAGACGACTTCAACAGTCCGACTTCTGTTTACAAGTTCCCAGGATCCCAAAGCATGCCTCATGGGGACACTTCAAACCCATGTGCCAATCTATACCTTTTTCAAGAAAAGGGTTAAAAGGGGTATGTGCTTTTAGCAGTGCTAATTCAAGACAACAATGCATCCGGACGAAAACAATATTGTCTCCTAATCGGTCTCTCTTGCCAGCTTTATGACCTTTCGCGGTATCCTTTGAAAACACGCGTTATTTCTTATACTTGAATTGATCTTCAACATGTTGCCTTAACTAGCTGGGTTTCCATGAACCTTCTTGGGACAAGAACCAAAACTCACCAACATCAAATGTTGATGTTCACTTCATGAGCTTCGGCAGGGCGCCTACTCTCTCAAATTTACACCATTGTTGCCAAAAAACCCTGTAGTGACGGCAGACGTAGCAGGCATTGGGCTTCGAGGTGGTCCGTGGACTCCTTCCTAGATGGACTAAGCCTGTTCTTCTTGAAAAACTATCTTGTAGAAACAAAATGACATATGACATGTGCCTCCGATCACTGGGCACTTCTACATTCACGCTCCCAGCCGCTCCCAGCACAGGAGAACACATACTATCCCTATCTCCAGGCCTCATCTATACACACTTGGAGGCCAACACCGTTCTATCTTCTCTGAACAAGGCTCTTGCAAATCTTGGTGCGCCTCAGACAAGCAGGGGCTGTGTCTGCTTGAGGGCGTCTGCTTGAATGTTGAGGTTGTGTTCGCATGCTTCTCACTTGCCGAAGCATCATGACCCATACCGGAGAGAAGAACATTTTTGTGTTTGATGCACTGGGAATCCCCGTTGGCAGCCCACCCACAGCCGGAGCACTGAACAGTGCCCGGCCTGGGACTGGACGCCGATGGCCGAATACACACAGGTGATTCACCGGAAATTATCCAGGACTGTGGAAACAATCTTCCTGAATGTACATGAGTTGATGATGTCCATCCAACCCCTCTCTGATCCAACTACTTCAGCCTGGAAGCAAACACTGTCTGCCATGAATCAAGTCGAATTAATTATACAAACAATAAACCAAAGCCAGATTCGCATCCGCAGCTTTTACCAAGGCACTTCAGCTTGCTAGACAAGTCAGTGGCCACCATGCTCACGAGTTGAGACTTCTTGCGATCTTGAGATCCGCGCTGACAGCTAATGAGCCTGAAACAACCTGATTGCGTCCCACATACAAACCACATGTGCGAATGACTTGAGTCAAGTTAATTGTGCCCAAAAACGCAACTACACTGGATCCCCTACCCAATTTGGCAAAGGGACTTTGTCCTTTCGGGGTCTTTGACAATTTGATGCAAGGACCACCTTCAGCGATGGCCTCCAACCTGATAGCAATGGCCTCCAACCCAAGCATCCAACCCAATAGCGATGGCCTCCAACCTAAGAGCAATGGCCTCCAACCTAATAACAACGGCCTCCAACCTAATAGCAA